GAAAATGGTAGAGCTGGAGTTCCTTCTCTCAAATTTCTTAGCTGCTGTTTTCTGCCTGGAATATTCTTCATCTAAACTCCCATCCTCCATTGCCACCATTACCTTGTGTTTAACTCCTGTCCATTTTTATAGATACTAGCCTTCCTTGACTCTCTCAACTGATTAAAACACTGCTGTATATTCGCAGAGCAGTTTTGTCCTGGGAAAGTTATCTTATTTGTAATTTTTCACCCAATGTGTATCTTCTTTATTAGAATGAAAGTTTCATGAGGAGAGGGCCATGCTTTTTCTGTTTACTATAATGCCTAAAATCATGTCTCAAAATAGCAGGACTAAATAGTCATTAACTTGGCAGATATTTATGAAGCATCTTTGTGTACAGCATTGTTTTCAGCATTGAGTATATAAACCAGGGGAGAAAACAGGTATGGTCTCTTTCTTGAAGGAGCTTATAAGATAGTCAAAGTGTAGATTTAATGATGGAAGAATTTCTAACTCAAACTCCTTGTGAAAGTCACTCAGTCATGTCTGACCAGGGACCGAACCCAGGTCTCCCACATGGCAGGCAGATTCTTCACCATCTGAGGCATCAGGAAAACCCATAAATACGGGAGTGGGTTGCCACGCCCTCTTTCCCAGGTAAACAACTGATTGCCAGAGAGACTCAGTGACTTAAATCACATCATACAAAGAATTTGAGTGTCACAAATTATTTTTGTTCCCTCTTACACACTGCTTCTCAATACACATTTCACAAACCAAAGGTGGATGTGTGAACTTCTGTTCATCCGTGCATGGATGTTAGAGGCTGTTGAGGAGGCATCATGGACTGTGTGTGTGGAGACAAACATTCAGAGAATGTGTTTTTATGTCAAACTTAAGTCGGCACAGGCAGACAGCTTGGTGATTTCTTTGGTCAGTTCTCCCAAAGCCCTTGTGATGCTGATCATTAAGTCCTTTATTATTGCTTTTGAACCCTTGGTGTCTAGAGTTCCTGGGAAAATGAAGGTGTTGGAGCCAAGGGCATCCATGTGTTTAGGGTTCAGTTTGGAACTGCTATAGGAGAACTCAGTCTTCAGCTGGGAATTGCAAGAAGGGACTAACATAGATCACTCTTGAGAAGGTAGAAGGGCTTTTCAGGAGAGGGCATATAAAAAGGCAAGGAGAGTTTTAGAATAGGAGTATATGAATAGCAAAGAAATAGCTCACTAGAGCAGAGAGTATATATTAATGAAAAGATAATATGGGCTAGGTATGGGGGGCTGCGGGTCCTTGGAAATGGAAGAAATGGCTGGTTCAGGGAATGGAGAGAGGACTAAGTTTGGATTTCTAATTTATCAAGTGAAAGTGTGAGCTGCTCAGTCATAGCTGACTCTTTGAGATCCCATGGACTGTAGCCTGCCAGGCTCCTACATCCATGGAATTCTCCAGGAAAGAATACTGGAGTGGGTTTCCATTTCCTTCTCCAAGGGATCTTCCCAACTTGGAGACTGAACCCAGGTCTCCCTCAATGCAGGCAGATTCTTTACCAACTGAGCCCCCATGGAAGCCCATTCTAATTAATCAAAATCATTTTGCAATTTGAAGAATTGCCCTAGAAGGTATGGAGAGACCCTCTCTCCCATTCACATGCGACAGAAGCCAGTCTCTGGACTGGTTATATGTCAGTCATAGCTCAGTCAGTAAAGAATTCACCTGCGATGCAGGAGACCTGGGTGGATTCCGGGGTCTGGAAGATCCCCTGGAGAAGGAAATGGCAACCCACTCCAGTATTCTCGCCTGGGAAATCCCATGGACAGAGGAGGCTGGTGGGCAACAGTCCATGGGGTCGCAAGAGTCGGACATGCCTGAGCGACTAAACCACCATGTGTCAGCTCACAACAAGTAATTCCCCAACTGAAAATGCACCCCACCCTGGTCTCCCCCAAAGCTGGACTGACATGTCAGTGGAAACACAGCACAGAGCCAACTGTCACCCTTGTCATCTGCACCCAGGGAATGGCTGGTACATGATTCTGACTCTGCTGTCAGTGGAGGCCACACTGACTCAGAAATCTCATTCATTTAAATTTGGGAGTTGCCAAGTCACTTCATCAGAAAGCACCTCAATGTGGAATGACCTTTTGAAAAGCAACAAATTTAATGATGTGAGCTGAAATCCTCTGGCGTTTAAAAGAAGTGCTCTGCTGAGGGCTACCTGCTAAGACCAGCGGTCTGCTTCTGTTACGGAGAGGCAGAAGAAGATGATTTCAGTGTCTCTAAGTGATGTGTGGGTTCAGGAAATGAGCTGCAGCAGGTTTGGGAATGCGTGGGGAGAAGAGAAGTCAGAAGGCCATGCATACAACGTCTGTAAAGAAAATGTTTTATTTAAAGTGTTAAATACCATCACCAGAATGAATTTGAGTTTTCCATTAGTTGGTGTTCATCACAGGACTAATCTGCCCTTTTTATTTTTTCCCAACTGGAATTCCCTTCACTTTTAAAACATACTATGTACAGGGCAGCAATGGTCACTGGCATAGTGCTATTTACATGACTAGGTCACAAGTTGAGGTGCAGACATGTGAAAATTAAAAAAAAAACAACAAAACACCAACTTTAAAATAAATACTGCATAATGACAGGTATGTACAAATATTCCATACAGTCATGTCCTTCTTATTAAAATTAGAAATAATTTATATAGGAATATGCACAAAAGATTATGTGACTGCATTTTAGTATCAGGAAAATGTTAAACGTTTATTCTAAGGGATAGTATAGACGCTATAGGTCTATTAAATCAATTGTTGCTGGTACACAAGTGTCTAAATTATTTCAATAGTTTTATTCATTTATTTCGCAACTTTACCTGGGTCCATCGCAGGTCTCAGAATGTCAAGACACAGCCTTGGTGTATTTCATATTGCACCGCATAAAGAGAAGGCATTTTTAGTGATACTCATTTTTAACTTTTGCACCATATCAAGCATGATAGTTTTTAATGGTCAGCACTGAATTTAAAAGGAACACAAAAGAGCAGTTTTTGTGCATGGCATTAACTTAAACAAATGGTATGTATGTAGATTTCGAAAGTTGTTGCTAGAAGTTAAAATCAAACTATAAGAACATGTTATCAAGGTGTACAGAAAGAAACAGAAACTATGGGTGGCTTATTACATTACTCAGTGACTTTTCCTCTAAATAGGGGAACTTAAGAGAAATTTGACCTTGCAGCACCACCCAATGGTAATAACTGTCTGTAAAACTAAAGGCAGGGGTTTGATTTTAGGGCATTTGTGTGTAGACTTTCGGTGATGGCATCAAAGAATTGTTAATAGGCAGATTGACTTTCTTTGAGTTACCTAAAAATTGGAGCTTTAAAATTATCTGTTGCAAATTTATGTTTGTTATGTTTCTTTAGAAATATAATTTGTGAAAAATTGAGTTTTACTACAGAAAAATGAATTAATAAACTGCCCTGTATTTCAGGGCTCCAAATTTTTAGCAGTGCTTCTATTCACATAGTAAATGGAAACTGGCTAAAGAAATTGCTTTTAATTAATTAAAAACAAAACTTAAAACCTTTGAGAAATAATACTTTAACCCCTGTATGAATAATGCTGGTGCTAAAAACAAATTTATTAGACATTACAATGGCCACATGATTTTAGGATTTTCCTGTAAACTGAACTTGGAAGGTGAAAATAAAATTACCATGCACTGTACAATAAATTGCAAAAGTTCAAATATCTTCTTTATCAAACACATGCTGACTTACTTTAATGTACTCCCAAGTCATGTTGCAAAATCCTTTTCAACATGCTTGAAATAAAGAAAGCTCTTAAATAGTTTTTTACCCCCTTGAGAAATTCAGAAGCATCTACAGCTCTGAATTGAACATGGGGTATAAGAGAGTCAAAGACTTGTGATTTTTTTTTTTTTTTAGCATAATGTTCACTCTAGTAGGGAGAAAGAAAATAAAAAGATTAAAAGAGGGAGAAGAGGAAAAGTGAGAGAAAGGAAGAAAGATGTGATAATTTGCACATGTTGAACTTTGTAAGATTTGTATATTTACCATGGAAATAAATTGAATACATTATACTTATTTGTCACATAAAGAGAATTTTAAGTATTTTCTAGAAAGTATTTTCTTCTGTAATGTCTGCCAAAACACAGACTGTGATTAAAGAATAAACATGGTGTGTCTTTGTATCACCCTGCTGCATTCTCTCCCTTTTTTAAAACCATGCACTAGTGAAATTTATTTTTTAAAAATAATATAAATTGTCGAAAATGGCTGATTTTTTTTTTTTTTTTGCAAGTTGCAGCCCCAAGAAAATAATTTAAATATTCAGCTAATCTGTCCATGCAAAAAAAAGTTTAATCTCATTGAGTACAGTGGAGCCACAGAATTTTGTTTTTCAGAGTCCAACACATCTTGGCATTAGTGAATGACATGCCTGCTGGAGCTCCGAGGTCTGCCACTGCCCACGTTGTCACTTTGGACCGGCTGCTCCTGTCCCGTCCAGGGGAGGGCTGACATTCTGTCCTAGACCTCGTCTTTGGTCTCGCTTTTCACCTGATGCTTCCCAGGACTTCAGTCCTTCACTTATAACATGGCTTAATGGCTGGATAGCTCCATTTCTGTGGCATCACAGGACTTTGGGGTCAGAGAAATGAAGAAAAAGGAACAATAAAAATATAAAGGTGCCATTGAAAAGGGCTTTTGTTGCATGAAACTGACTGATTCTTTGATATTAATCCATGGCTTCAGATTGGACCAAAACTCGAGTGTTACTGAACTCCAAACCTGAGAGTTCTTCATAGCTCCACTCCTTCACCTGAGGGCCTCCTTTAGGGCACAATGTGTGCAACTTCCTCTGAGAACACAGGATCGCTTTGTATCCCTAGGAACAGGCTCAGAAGACACAACATTAAGCATGCAGTGTTACCAGGGTTTGCGACCTGTGATTTTTTTTTTTGTAATGCTGGTTGCTATGACAACAGTTTTACAGCTGCTATGAACGAGAGTAAGAAGGTCCAGTTGAACTTTCCAGAGATGATTGGGAAGCTCTTCTTGTCAGAGGAGCCAAGGTTGGATCTACTAGGGAGGAAGGGGGGAAGAGTTTGAACCAGCCAATCACCATGTTGGATAGCTCCAGTTCATCTAAAAGTATCTGGGCCACTCCCATAAAGGATTTGTGATCCATGCGGCCATAGTCTCCCCAGACAATGATCTGTTGGCAAAATTAAAAGAGCAATGTCAGTATAATCATGTACGTAAAGGCTTGTAAACCAAAATACAATCAATTAATGATAGCTCAGTTGGCCAAAAAATCCACGTGCAATGCAGGAGACCCCAGTTTGATTCCTGGGTCAGAAAGATCCTCTGGAGAAGTGATAGGCTACCCACTCCAGTATTCTTGGGCTTCCTTGTTGCTCAGCTGGTAAAGAATCTACCTGCAATGCAGGGGACCTGGATTTGATCCCTGCATTGGGAAGATCCCCTGGAGAAGGGGAAGGCTACCCACTCTAGTATTCTTGTCTGGAGAATTCCATAGACTATATAGTCAGTCCATGGGGTTGCAAAGAGTCGGACACGACTGAGCAACTTTCATAAAATGTGCTGACATCAAACATCAAGTTATGTAGTTGTTTTTAATTACTGGGATAGTTATCTTTACTGAAATTCAAAGGTATAGTCAGAAAACTCTACAGGAGTGTTAGGATCATAAGCCATCAAGGAAGATGAGAGCTGATGTGTGATGGAGGTTTACAAGTCTATAGTTCACTTTAAAGGAAACAGTGTGTATGGCTTTTTTTCATATTTTTTCCCATTATGGTTTATTACAGGATATTCAACATAGTTCCCTGGTGTGTACAGCTCTATAGCACTGGCCACTGCTTGGAAGTTTCCCAAGAATTTCAGCTGGTGAGGAATGGAAGAGAATGTGATACAAAGTTTGACTTCATAAAGACACCTTCTTAGGTAAGGAATATATAATTCAGTAAATACCTGTAAAACCTTTCCTTGGGGACTTTCTTCAAAAGATAATAGTTGCTGGTAAAGGGGTTCCAGCGTTTTTCTTGCCACTTTTGTTTTCTTTTTGGCTATGCAGACTCCATTATCTAATAGATACACCTTTACATACGGTGCTTGGAAAAGAAAACAGGAGAGTTAAGAGATGAGCTATGGTTACAGAACACTCAACTTATGGATGACACCTGCCATAGCTTAGTCTTGGGCTGAAAGAGACAACAGTCAAAAATCACTGGCCTGTCCACATTATGTCAAAATTATTAGATAAACAATAGATATAAATTATTAGATAACAATAGATTAATATCAGTCATTCAGATAGTTTTAGGCAGTTCACACAGCCTCTGAGTTGATACTATTTTGCCATCAACTCGTTTTATATACTGCTTTTAAAAAAGAAATCCTTCTGGTCCCTAACAATATCCAAGAAAGAGGTCTCACTCGGTTTTTCATGTGCCAATTCATAAATCTAGTTAAACGTGCTCAAAATCATACAGTTTTACCCATTCCCATGGAGCATTTATCACTTGGCTTATTTATTGATGGTGTCGGTACAAGACAAGGGTGGGGTTTGCTGTAATATGTTCAAATCAGCTGGAAAGAGACAACTAATTATAAATACCATGGATTGATATTTTTCTGACAGTCTTTATAAAAGCATTTTAATGCATGTACAAATTGCGGTATTCTTTCTAGCAATCAGTTGACTAAACTCTGAGACCTTTATGAACACAACTGACTGTCTTAATCACCACTGCAAGGTTGTACAATAGGTAACATTGGGGAGCAATGTGAACTTTCTAGGTTAGAGATTCAAAATTACAATTCATTCAGTGGAGGTGCTGAGGTGAGAAACCAAGTTTCAGAATTGTTCTGTACATCAGGTCTGAAGTTGTCCACATCTCTGCACCAGGCATCTGGAATCTTTGGCATTCCCTATGGCTCTAAGTACCTTAGATTATAATATTTTGGTACAAAATGCGACATTGCAATAAAAACTTATAATGGTGCCTCTCTATACACTCCAGGAAGTAAGAGTCTTCTAACTAGAATGTCCTTCATCTATGGGTTTATACTATTATGGGGACCTATATCTATCTATATTTATTCTAATTCCAGAACTCTAAGGATTTCTAAGGAGAATTCTGAAGCTCAGATAAACTGAAGAATAACACAAAATACCAGCTAACAAGAACTTCTTAGGTAATTCATTTTGTGCAACATGTACATACATGTGATAGTTTTTATTTTGTGGGGTTTCTACCGCATATGTGCTTATTAGCTAATGACTTCTCCCCACCAGATCACCCTCACTGGGTGCTCGCTCAGGAGAGATGCTAACTACTACAGATAACTGACTCATTTATCAGTACCCTTGATTGTCTAAAGACAAAGTTTTCAGCATCTCTTCAAAAACAATGTCTCTGAATTGAAAAGTGTAGATTCTGAACAGTAACAAAAGAAATCTCATTTGTTCTTACCTGGCAGTGTCTTGGAACCTGGTTTTACAACAAGGCCACGGGCCCGGATTATTTCCACCTCCAGCTGTCCCTTTTTGTCCATCATTCCTACCTGAATGTCACCTAAGAGTGAGTGAGGAAGAAACAAACAGGCCTTAACATACAAAAGCAGACAGAAAAATGCTTGTGTCAAAGATCTTGGTTTAACCATGTTGGATCAGTTCCCATGTGTTTTCCTAAATTCAAATATATTTAAAAATATATCACTGATATCTTACCTTAAAAAGCATATAAATTAAAATGGAAAAAAACTGAAGTTTATATTGTTTAAAATTTAAGACATTCATTCCAGAAAATACTCTTAAAGATCTTATGAAATTGGGGAATGTGATTTTCAATAAGCTAAAAGGAAAACAGTGAATCATATGACAGAAGTTCTTACCCATTGCGGGTGTGGCCAGAGTTTGGCGCCCCACTAGCTGGGCAGGGCCAAGGCCATCCAGAAAATCACTGAATTGGCTATCCGAGGCCAAGCGGACACCAGGGAAGATCAGACTAAAAGCAAAACAACACAGGATTATTTTGTGTTACCCTCAACTCTTGTTTCCATCTAGCCCCCTACCTGTGGCAGGAGAAGTTGGTGTCACTATTTTGTCACTTATATTAATTGGATCCCAAGCGCCCCCTGCACCTCCACGGCCCTCCTTCCTTCTCCTCCAGCAGCCCTCATCTGGTACTGCATGCACGCTTCTGTCTGTGTGCCTCTCTCTTCCTTGTCTGGAGGGCATGAACTATAAGTTCTACATATAGCACTCCTACACGCAGAGCACTTATTCCGTGACTGACATGAGCATACTGAATCTCTTAGCTGCTTTATGAGACAGTCTGTTATTTAATCCATTTTATCAATGAAGAAAGCCTTCAGATTATTGCCATCAATACCCAGACACACTGCTATTTCTTCCACCTTAAAGAAATAAAAAATCCCTAACACCCATCCCTCTTCAGCTACAATATCATTTCTCTACCTGGAATTTCTTGAAAGCTGTCTCTACGTACAACTTCACTTCCTTGTTTTTTTTCTGCCACACTGCACAGGCAGGTGGGATCTTAGTTCCTGACAAGGGAGCAAACCTGCACCCCCTGCATTGGAAGCTCGATGTCTTCACCACTGGGCTGCTAGGGAAGTCCCTATCTTCAGCTTCTTTCCTCTCATTCTCTAGTGAAACTCTAGTCAGTTTTTCCCTGCTGTCTTCCAAGCTTTGTTTTTCTCTACTCCACCAAAATTTCTCTGATCAAGATTAGCTAGTAACCAGAGTGGTAAATCTTGACTGCTAATACTCCGTATTCATCTAATTGAACATATTAGTCTCATTTGATCCAAATGATCCCTCCCTCTAACTTGAAGCAGTGTTTCAAGTAACTGTTCAGAAACACTGCTTCCTGAACCCTCTAGTCTTTTGGTTTTCCTTTGTAACTACTTCACTGTTTCCTTTATTAGTTCTACCACTAAATATAGTCACTTGATCCTTTGACCTCTTCCCTGTATGTCCCAATTCCCTTGGCAATCTCATCCCATCTCAAGGTTTTAAACATCGTCCACAGTGACATTACCAAGACTGACATCTCCAGCTTGGGCTTGTCCCTTGGGTCCCAGACCTGTATTCTAACTGCTCTATTTACCTGCTTGAATGTCTAACAGGCAATCAAAACTCAACTCGTCCCACACTGACTCTCAACCCACAAACAAACAGAAAACCAAACTCTGTTCTTCTCAGAGGATTCCTATCTTAAATGGCAACTTCATTCTTTCAATTGCTCAGCCTTGCAGTTGTCTTTCCTTTGGACGGACTGCTAAAGCTGTAATTCCGAGTATGACTGTATTTGGAGGTAGAAACTTGAAAGGGATAGTTAAGGTTAATGAAGTCTTAACGGTGGGGCCCTAAGCTAATATGATGGTGTCCTTAAAAGAAACGCCAGGGGTACATATGCAGAGGGGAAAGACCATGTGAGGACCTTGTGAAAAGGTGGCCATTTGGGGGCCAAGAAGAGAGGTCTTGGGAGAAGCTAAACTTGCTGACATCTTGATCTTAGACTTTCATCCTCCAAAACTATGAGAAAATAAATTTCTTTTGTTTAAGTGGTATTGTTTCTTTTTATTTTTTATCTATTTATTTATTTTCAAGGCACAGTACATTTTTATTCTGCATTGGTTAATATACAACATATCCCCGCTTCCTTTGAGAAACAGTATCATATCTAAAACACACTTTGATGAACACTGGATATTAAAATATTACACAATCATTCCTCAGAATCCTGAGGGGGGTGGCTGGAAAACTTCTCAGTCAGTATTATGTGATAATAAAAGTCTCACTACTGAATGCCATCTTCTTGATTCACCAGGCCTAAACTGCAGTAATACATTCACTCAGGTGGAGAGAAGACATCAAGAACAGACCAGACACATTTCCTTTGGTGGTAACCTGATTTCCTTTTCATCTCTGAGGCCTCTCAGTGGAGAACAAGCAGGAGAATTTTGAATTTAAAAATAAATTCAGACATTTTTCTTCATGTTATCTGTGCTATATTCTTATTTTTTATTTTTAACAGTAGCCCTAACAGACTTCCCAGAAAGCTCAGTGGGTAAAGAATCTGCCTGCAGTGGAGGAGTCTAGAGACGGAGGTTCGATCCTTGGGTTGGAAGGTCCTCTGAGAAGAGCACGGCAACTCACTGCAGTACTCCTGCCTGGAGAATCCCGTGGACAGAGAAGCCTGGCACGCTCCAGTCCAGAGCGCTGCAAAGAGTCGGACACGACTGAACGCAGCACAACAAGCCAGTGCTCACTCTTTCTCTCACACTCACAGCAAATGCGTCATTGAATCTTACTGGTTCCCCTGGCAGATACATCCAGAATCTGACCTCACTGATGCTACCGTTCAGGTCCCAGGCATCACTGTCTCCTTCTGCGTTGCTGCAACAGCCTCCTGAACGGTCCCCCTGTTGCCACCTTTACTCTCCACTCCCACAGCAACCAGACTGATCTGTTAAAGCCGAAGCCAGACAACGTCAGGCCTCTGCTCACTATCCTGCATTGGTTTCTCACCCCAATCTGAGTAAAGCAGAGTCCTTGCAATGATATGTAAAGACAACACCAGCCGTCCACCCCTGCCCAGCATATCTTAATTCCTAGTTTTTTATCACCTCTGCCTCCCTCCCCAGGGATGCCCTTCCCATTGTCGATGCCAGGCAAGCTCTGGCCTCAGCGCTGCTTCAGCCTGAAATGTCCTTCACATGTCCTACATGCTCACTAATTTCCTTCAGAGTTTTACTCAGATGTACCCCTTTCCCTGTCCTTCATAAAGCCCTACCCTTAACCTCCACCGGCTCTCTTCCTACCTTTTCTCCTTAGCACGTATACCACCCAGTCTATTATATATTTTACTAGGTTTTCTTATATATGCACTTAAATACATTTTCTAGTTTATTGTCTATCTTATCTGTTAGACAGTAAGTTTGCTGAGTGTAGGGTTTTTTTTCTTCTGTGTTTACTGCTACATCTCCAGCACTAGAACCATGCCTGCAATACTGTATGTACTTATTAAACTTAATTAATGAATAAAAGAAATGAATGATAAAAGATCTAATAAATAAGTGAATCTTAAAAAATTCCATAACTTGCCCAAATTTGTATAGTACCAAAAACAGATTAGCATTTAAGCCTATATGATTCTAAAGCCTACGTTATACCAGCAACTGAGTTTTGCTCCCTTGTGTGACTTACATCCCCAACTCATAGTGAAGCACTTAGAACATTAGAAGGTATGGAAATACCTGTTAAGTGAATTTATGTGTATTAACCCCATTTCTCCAGTAAGACCATAAGCATCTGGAGTGCAGGGGTCATAGTTCAAACATTTAAAATCCCTAACAGTATCTAACACAGCACTTTGCAGTGATGAGTGCTCATGTACATTTCTTTTTTACTTGATTCTCCATCTCTTTTAAGGCTTCCTTTATTAATGTCAAATCTGTTTTTTCCCCTGAGCTTAACTCCCAAATATATAATTAATCTGAACATTTTTAATGCTTCCATAAATATCACACATAACCTTATTTATAGATGTATGAAAACCATATGCATCTCTTGTATTTACATAACTGTGCTATGCAAATGATTCCTAAGGCAATATCATCAACACTCTGCCAGCCGCTCCCATGGCCTCACATTTGTGAACTGACTACGCACTATGTTGCCTAAGCATCTGTCGCTTCCATAGTGATGACAGATGAGGTCAGTAACCCCCCCTTTCCTCTATTAATGTCCTTCACACATCCATCTACAGCTCTGCAGTTGCTAATTACTGTTAATTCATGGGTGACAGGGCTGTACAATCTTTAGGAATGCCTTAAAAATATCTCAGACATAGTGGAGTCAAGGGAAAGCTACATGATAATTACATAAAAGAAAGGCTCAGCAAGCTTTGTGGCATTTCTTTTTGGTTGTTACATTTATCCAAACTGTTTGTTACTGCATGGAACTAAGCATGTATCAGTTTTCTATATTTTATAATAACTGTTAGAGCAAAGATTTTCAAAATTAGCATCATACATGTGGCATGGGCATAGGTTCTTAAAGTGCTCCTGTGTTTTTATGTATTATTTCAGGGTAGGGCAAACTTCCCTTTGTGACAGTTATGTTTTAGCATCTTGCCTTTAAAGTGAAACACTTTATCCCCAAACCTATTTCCACTGATATAAAAGCCAGGAGTGTCACATTTCTCAGTGGCAGGTAAGCAAAAGTTTTCTTCACAGCAAATCAGCCAGTGAAAGTTAAATCAGTGCCACAGAGCATGCGAGTTGGCGTTTATGGAAACACAGAGAGGGGGAGAGAAGGCAGGCTCCAGGGAGGTGTGGAGGAGACCACCGCCCTGCCAGCATCACTCACTTTCCTTCTGAGCTGTAGCTGTTCATGCTGCCGTCGGTAGATTCTCGGCTTGCTTGTCGAGTCATCCAGTTCCTCATTTCCACGGCCAAGCCTGTTTCTGTACTTCTCTGGACAGTGCTCCGTAGCTTTTTACCTCCAGTTTCTGCAAAGACAGAAGACAAAAGAGGTGATAGTTTTGTCATCACCATCAGGTAACAAACGTTATCAGCCAATGCACTGAGAGTCTCAGATGAAAAAAAAAACTGCGTAAATCTAAAGTGCTTTTATGAAGGAGACAGAAAAGGTATTTCAATCTCGTCTTGTTGGGTGGGATGAAAAGTTTCTAAAAAATTGTCAAGAAACACAAAATACCATTGTTTTATTTCCATTTAAAACAGTGTTCCAATAGGTAACCAAAGGAACAAAAAGGTTCAAGCTATGTAAAATAAAATAAGCTTTGTTTTCATTGTAATATTTAAATCAAGATTTAATTTATGCCTGTCTTTTTCTTTTTTCTTTTTGTCATAGTCAAAGAAGTAGGCCTTCACATTATTTCCAAAGAATAGGTGGTGAGTAATCCTCAATTCTACCTGCAACTTTCATACAAAAACCTGTTTTTGTAGGGTGATCAATATTAGAAAGTATAAAGAAAGCTACACTAAGGAGACAGCCCTGCCTGAAAACACTTTTCACATCTATTGGCAGTTTTCAGAGAGACTCTCATAGGGAATGCAAAACCCAGCACTCCCAAGTGAAAAAGAGCTTTTAAACTTTTGGTCATGGATAGTCATGTTCTCAGGGCTTCTCAGGTGGCTTAGTTGGCAAAGAATTCACAGAGACTCAGGTTCGATCCCTGGTTTGGGAAGATCCCCTGGGGGAGGAAATGGCACCCCACTCCAGTACTCTTCCCTGGAGAATCCCATGGAGAGAGGAGCCTGGTGGGCTACAGTTCAAGGTGTCACAAAAGAACCAGACACAACCTAGCAACTAAAGTACAATCACCACCAAGTCATGTTCTTAAGGATCTTTAACAGTCTGACTAGGAGGTTTGCTTGTGGAAGCCCACTAGAAACGGAGTCGAGACCGCAGATGTGACAGACGTACAAACGGCCACCTGCAGAGGACAGGGGGAAGGAGCTCCTGCTCGCAGACGGGGTGGGCGGGGAGGGGGGGTTGCGATGGGCCTAAAAAGTGGGCAGGTTATGATCCAAGAAACAGCCCCAATGATCAGAGACCTCACAGGCTAGAACGTGGAGCTGAGAGACAACTAAAGCTGCAGCAACAGTGGGATGCCTCAAAATATATTAATTTACTCCCTGTCAGGCCTAACTGTTTATCCACATTGACCATACATATCATCAGTATTTTGGGAGATGGTAAGCTCTTTTATTGTCTGGTATTAATAACTTCCTTTTAGATCAATAAATATTTGGTGATATTGCCAATGACTTGTGGAAATCCTTTCCATCAAACTTCTTGAAATATATGCTGTTTTGAAACACTGCTTTAAATTTCATCTGTTCTCCACTTCCAACTTTAATGTACATCAAAATGCTTTAATAAGTACATATAAAATGTGTAATGACTGATCTACAACTCAGTTCCATAGATCAGTAGATATGCAGAGTGATCTACAACTGAGGCTGATATTTTAGATAATTGATAGTAAAACATGTTGTACTGATATGAACTATTAAGAGGAGATACATCACCGTCCATGGATGAGGGAAAGTATATCCTTCCAGAGAAATGATTAGTTAATACGTGTATAAAATGATAAAATGTTAAAATTACTCATTTGCAACCTCCAATGGAATAATTCAAGTTAAGACATATCAATGGATGCTAATGCCATTAAATAAAAGAATATTGATATAAGCCAAAAAATCATCCCACAAATTAGTTCTAATCACTAAAGAATATGTACTTTAACATTGGGAAACCCGGCTATGGCCATCTTAATCATGGGAGCAAACTCAGAAGCACTAACAGTGTGGCAATCACTGTAACACCTATCAAGTTGATCTGGACAAAAATATACCACCTGTTTCTAATCAGGTCTTTGTAACGATCTTCTAAGTTTTCAGAAATAGGATAGACTAACAAGATACATGATACACACACACAAAACCAGATAAACTCAGAACATGGGATTTTGTTCAAGAATCACTTAAAATTAATATCACGAAAACTAACAAGGTGGGAAAATTGTCCCAGATTTAAAAATATCACGGATGTAACCATTAAATGTTATGAGTATACTTTGGTTTCTTTAAAAAAAAAAAAAAAAGAAAGAAACCCTAAAAGCAAAACACTAAAAGGAATTTTAGGACAAGTAGGGGAAATCTGAATATGAATTGGATATTAGATAGGATAAGAAAATTGTTAATTTTCCTAGGTAGATAATGGCATGTATTACATAAAATTTTCTTATCATTAGGAGATACATGCTGCCGTATTTAGACCTCAAGTCTTACACTGTTTGCAACTTACTTTCAAACAGTATAGCAAAAAATATGCATATTCATAAAACAATGAAATGTTAACAACAACAACAAAAAGGATGGGCATGAAGAGTAGATCTTGACAGTCATACACTCAATATTTATGATTTTATTTGAGAGTGATTCTTAGAATGGCCACATTAAATTGAATGAAGTTAAGTCAAAGACAAATATCATATCACTTATATGTGGAATCTAAAAAAATAGTACACAAACAAACTTATTTACAAACAGAAATAGAGTTATTACCAAGGAGGAAGAGGGGGAGGGATAAGTTGGGAGACTGTGATTGACATATACACAGTTATATATAAAATAGGTAATTAATAAGGACCTACTGTATATAGCACAGGAAACTCTGCTCAATACTCTGCAATGGCCTATTACAGAGAAAAGAATCTAAAAAAGAGTGGATATATGTATAGTATGTATAACTGATTCATTTTGCCATACAGCAGAAATTAACACAAATCAATCAAAAATGTAGTAAAATTTTGTACAGGTACGAACTGAAATCCTGAAAGGTGCTGGGCTGCTGTGAGGGAGTCCCGGCCCCTCTGTGGAAGCTGCACTGTTCGCTTCTGGTGAAGAATGCCTGAATGAAAAATCACCACTAACTAAGACATACAACTTCAGTGACATCTGAAAATTCAGAATGAGGGTATGCACAGAAAACATGACTTCCTAAAGGCCTCAGAACACAGCCTTTGCGGTGTCAAAAATTTACTATTTTTCATTCAATGTCTGACTCATCACAGCAAAAGTGACTTGAAAACCTGCTATTATAGGGTAAAGAGAACTATCCTCCCTTTGACAATAAATAACAGTAGAATAAGCATGTAATCCTCTTGGTTACAGATTGCTTTTAATGTGCCCTCTTTAGAATTCTCACAATCTCCATTTTCCTGATACAGTATCCAAGGGTCCCAGTTGTGACACAATTCCCTGAAGCCATACAGAAAATAATGGAACCAGAGTTTATACACAGTTTCCTGACTCCCAGTTCTCTGCTATTCCCTGATTTGTTGTCAGAATATAACTGTGAGTAGCCTGTATAGCTGTTCAAGGAAAGGATACTGGGCTGCAAGCATATGTGGAAGGCTCTACTAGAAGCAACTGCTGGGATGGAAGGAGCAGAGCACAGTGAAGAGGTCGGGCCCCGGTAGACAACTGCTTCTCTTTGAATCCCGTACTTAGAATCCCTACGCTATCATGTACCAGCTGGCTGACATGATGCACGCTACCTTCTCTGTGACTCAGCTTTCTCAAAACTGTAAATGGCAATGATAATAATAATGCCTACCTCACAGAATTTGTGAAAGTTAAGAAAAATATATTTAAAATCCTTAGGATAGTGCCTGCTATATAGAAAATCTTCAATTAATGATACTGTCATGAATACTGAGGCTTTCGTAGCTCAGAGGGTAAAGAATCTGCCTGCAATGCAGAAAACCCAGGTTCGATCCCTGGGTTGGGAAGATCACCTGGAGAAGGGAGTGGCTACCCACTCCAGTGTTCTTACCTGGAGAATTCCATGGACAGAGGAGCTTGGCAGGTTACAGTCCATGGGATCACAAAGAGTTGGGACACAATGAAGCAAGCAACACTTTAACTTTTCATAAGTATATATGTGGGCTTCTAGACAGGAAATCAGAGAACATGTATTCCAGGCCAATCTCTACCACCGACTAGCCGGCTCTATGGTTTTCTCTGAGTCGTTATCCCCCTTCTGAGTCTCAGTTTCCTCATTTATGAAAAAAAAGGGGAGGGGGAGGCTGACAGATGATCTCTGGTCTCGTAGCTCTATAGTCTGAGCGTCTATCATGCATGTATGACCATGACCATGATGAACAGTATACACTGAAGAGAGGAGCTACCCATTGACATTCGACGGAATCAAAGAACTTCAGGCATAAGCTACACATTTATAATAGCTTCTGAAACTATGTCTTCTAAATGTACTTTTATCTGATACATTCATAGACTTCTTTAAAAAGTAAATGTATTTTTCAATACTGCAAATCCTTTACATCACATTCATGACAAAAATAATTTAACCTAAATACAATATATTATGATGAATCACATTTAATGTTCCAAAGGCTTTATCATGGTATTCAATCTAAAAATCTATATAACAGAGAATGCCTATATAAAGTATATTAGGCAGAATTCTATGATGACTCCCATGATTATGCTACCTTACATGGCAAAGGGATTTTGCAAATGTAAGTAAGGTTACTAACCAGTTGATCTAAAGATAAGGAGCTTATCTCAGTGGGCCTAACATATCCACATGAACATTTTGAAAGCAGAGTGCTTTCTCTGGCTGGTTCCAGTAGAGTCAGTCAGGGAGATCTGAAACACAAGAAGGATTCAGTGTACCTTTGTGTCTTGAAGACAGAGGGGCCTGAGAGTAGCCTTCAGCAATGCCAGCTGAAAGGCAAAAAGAAAATGGAGACCTCAAGGCCAATACCTGCTAAAGTCTGTTCTCTGCCAATACTCAGCCCAGTCAACACCCTGATACCAGCCATGTGACGTCCTAGGCAGGAACCCAGCCAGGCCAGACGTGTCCTATAGAACAGTAAACTAACAAATGGGTGTTGTTTTAAGCTGCTAACTTTGTAGTAGTTGTTAACCAACAAAATGTAATTCTTTA